GCATATCATCTTCCAGTAAACTAATTAATACATCATACAGCAATAAACTAGGCAACAAACGTAACTCCACGTATAAAATGCATTCAATAATAAACTGCTGCCGCCACTACAAACATAATTTTCTTAAGCAACCAGTCAAAATTCATTTGCCTAGTAATTAGAGGGTAATCATTTTCAGCCTGGAGGATAAATGGACATGATGAAAAGATCAATATGGGCTGATATGAAAAGCGGATCCAATCCTTGAGTCTGAACGTTTTTAGTAATACCCTCCTGAATTTCCCCTGAAGGTAGAACAAATTTGGCAAAATGACACCGATTTAGTTCTGTTCGCATGGGTGACGAGACAGAAGTTTGAGTTTCTTTATTCGACCTAATTTTTTGCCATGACCATCAACTTTGAAAAAAGATGGATATTTATTTTATCGAATGTTATATCGGTACATCGATATTGTGCTACTCGTTCCTGATTGACGGAGGGAGTTCTTTGAGACGTGCTAAGAGGAGTCCATTACCAAACGAAAATTACACATTTCAAATTCTTATTTAGCTCTCTACCTTCGCATTAGCATAATCTGGAAGAAACTGTATATAATCGAACATGATGTCGGCATTCAATGTCGGATAATCGGGTTTGCAACTTCCTCTGTCACCAGAAGGCAATGTCTGTCGCACATAAATCTCATCACACTGCACGCTCAAGCCAAGTTACAGTTTGGCGCAAACGCGCGGAGGTGAATCGAGGGAAATAGATTTACCGACCTCAGCTGTTTTCTAAAGGTCAACTTTTATGGCGACCACCCAAAGCATATGATTGCATAACGGAACAAAGGAGTGGCGCATATTTGTCCTGAAAGTAGTTCACGTGGGAGGACATCGGAGAGCGACGACTGCAAGCAGCGGGGCCGCAGACCTTGAGACAATGGTCATTCAAGCAAAATACGACTTAATCGGATCCGATGACCGTTCCAATATAACATACGGAGAAAATTTCACAATAGCACAATGACGCATTTGATATCAGTTGACGAGTGGATAATGCTCTCGGTGCCGATTTATATTCAATAAGCAGCGCACGCAAAAATTACTTTACCGCCCATGTGTAATTTCTGAATATTTTTAAATGCTAATTAAAAATCTTAATTTCAGCTGTCCAGGTGTGGTCTATCATTAAATTAAATCTTTCTTAAAAGAGGAGAAGACGAAAACTAC